AGGCTGATGGGGGTGAGGAGCAGATGGGGCATGGAAGATGGAAGGGTGGTACATGGAGGAGATGGAAGAAGGTGTGGGGACTGGATTCGGTGCCTAAAGGAGGAAATGGGAGCTGTTAAGTGGAAATGTGTATGGGGACAGGGCAAGGGCATGAAAGCTGGGGAGTGGGTCCAGGAGTGTGAGCTGCCAGTCAGAACATCCAGAACAGTGAGCAGTGCCTACTAGGGCCTGGGGAGCTGCAGGGGGAGGGATCTTGTGTTGGGAGAGGGGTCTTTGTGAGGCCTGCAGCACTGAGGAATGCTCCGCCATGAATACTAAGGGCAAGAAGAAGAGAAAGGGCTAGAGGGGGCTGGGTGATGTTTAGCTGCTGGGGTGATTAATGGGGGTGAACGAAGGGTGAAACTCAAAACCTTCGAACAGAGATGGTGGGGAATGGTTGTCCAAGAACAACAGCGCACTGTTTCATCGAGAAAGCCAATGTCCAGAGGATGTGCAGGTGGGGACGCCAGGCACAGTTGCTCCTTCCCTTTTTTCTCAAGGTTTCTTTATTTACCATCTAACAGAACATTAAACAGCTGGCTCAGGAGAACCTTCTGGATGGGCTTCCTACCTGTCTCCTGGCTCAGGGCAGACCAAGGCATGCAAGGGAGCTTGAGAGACAAGCAAGTGAGGTCCTGATGGAGGGATGAAGGCTGAGGTGCCTCCACCGACCAGCTCATTGTTCTATGCTGGCTACAACCCTGGCTTCCTCTGGATCAGATAGGCACTGAACATACCTTGCAACACACATTCTTAGAACACATGTAATGTTCTTAGATAAAGATTTTGGTGCAGTACAGGCCTTACCGAGGGACAAAGTGCTCTTTTCCTATAAAACAGATATTGGAAGGACAGATGTGCACCGGCCCTCGTTCCAGATGTTGATCTAAATTTGAAGAACTGGAGCTAAAGCTTGTGGAAGCCACAGGTTTGAAGCACCTCTCCTCATTCCCGCCCATGTCTCTCTTTCTGTAGGTACAGCTCCTGGAGCGGTGTCTCCTGCCTTCAACCTTTTGTATTTCCAGAGGATAGGAAAGGGCAAAGAGGATGAAGTGAACTATTTCATGCTGGGGCAGGTAAATTGAAGGCAGGATTCAGAAGGGTATCATCTTTTGGGATAGAAGCATTTGCTTCCTCTTTGGGCCTTTATGATTGTGAAACAACTGGCAGCTACTACTTCACCACCTCCACGTGTCAGAGAGGACAGTGTGCCTAAAAGCCTGTGCCTGCCTACAGTAGAGGGGGCAAGGAGCCAGGATGGGAGATCAGAAAAAGGGGCCAAGTGTGTGTGTGTTCAGAGAGCTGAGTAGGCTAGTCTGTCTCTGTCTGTCTGTCTGTCTGTCTGTCTGTCTGTCTGTCTCTCTCTCTCTCTCTCTCTCTCTCTCTCTGGTGGAACCAGGGATTGAACTCAGACCCTTGTGCTTGCCAGGGAAGCACTTATTGTACTGAGCCATCTCCCCGGCCCTAGTATCTCTTGAGGGCAACAGAGGAAGAATGTCCACTCCTGATTCAACATTGCTTGGGTATTGAGCCCGGCAGTCCTGCTACCTAGCCTTCATTCCTGTCTCCACGTAGAGTTTGGCCAAGCTGTTTGGCCTGTTGAAGTCTCACTCTTATTCTTCTCACTCTTATTCTTTTTTTTTTTGGTGGAACCAGGGCTCACTCTTACTCTATCTTTCTCTGTCTCTGTCTCTGTCTCTGTGTTTCTCTCTCTCTCTCTCTCTCTCTCTCTCTCCCTCCCTCCCTCCCTCCCTCCCTCTCCAGAAGCCAAGCCTACAGAGTACTTTGAAATCTGAAGTTAACAGGAGGTGCTTGCGTTGAGCCCATGTACTGTGTGAGATGCCACAAGACTTGACTAATAATGAGGCAACCATTCCACATATGCCTGAGTTCAAGGGCTGCCTTCAAGAGAGGCCATGCCTCAGTTTGCTTGTTACAGAGGGCAGGGGCTAACTGAAGCTGCCTTCTTCTGCCTCACACATTCACTGGAGAGCAATAGTCACAATCAACAATCTTAATTATGAATTAATAATTCATAATTATTCCCAACTTGCAGATAAGCACAGGCCTGCTGAAATTATTTCCCAGAGAGGAACACAGAGGTAGTGGAAAGGGTGCTTCAGTACAGCCATTACTTCCAGAAGCCATTAAGTTCATTCCTCTGCTTCCCAACCAGAAGCTGGAAGAGATTCATTAGCTCCCTTGGCTATGCCTCCCACTGCCCCCTCCCTACCCCTGAGCCCCTAAACATACCACCACATTCGCCTCTCCATTCTTCCTGAGGCTGGAAGACTATCCTTGCCAACAGGACCTCAGAACCTGGGCCTGGACGTCTAGGCTCTCTTTGGGCTCTGCTGCTCTCTGCTCTGCTGTTTATGGATGCAGTCCCTTGCTTCAGGGGCCAGTGTTGGATGTGCCCGAGAGATGTGGGCCCTTCCTGCCTCTTCCCCCCCTCTTTTTTTTCCATTTCATGGGGAAATGCCTGGGAATTCTCCTATTATGATGAAAAGTCCTTCCAAACCTGGAAGGCATGAGGGGTAAGAAGCACCCTTCCCAGTGGGTTCCTGGATATGGATTTGAGAGGCCAGCTCTAACCTCTCATAATGACATCTATAGGACTGGTGGTGTAGCTCGGTTGGTAAAGCACCTGCCTAGCACACATGAGGCCCCGGGCTTGATCTTCAGCACCTCCAAAAAATAAAAAATAAAATAAAGACATCTGATCGCATCAATAACGGAGATGGGGCCTAAGTGGGACTATGGAGGCATGTTCCACCCCAGACCCAGCTCTTGGCTGCTCCCCTCTCCAGCACTCATAATGCCATCATTATACCAAAATCCCACAGCAGACTTTTTTAAATGTCAATTTTGGTATTGGGCATTACACCTACATCATTTGCACAGAGCTACCCTCCCCTTTGAGATAGGGTATTCACAAGTTACTAAGTTGTCTAAACTGGGCTGAAATTTGCCATCCTCCTGCCTCAGCCTGCCAGAATGCTGAGATTATGGGTGTGGGCTCCATATCTGGGTAAAAATACCTTAAAGGAACCTAAAAGAGGTGCCACCTCACAACTCCAAGGGAATCTCCTTATTTGTCTCAGGACAGATTCTTGCTTTTCCAAATATGCTAACCTGCCATATCTTCTCCAAAATGCTACAAGGAAGAGAGACTGACTCACGCACTAAAGGGGCTTTGGTGTTGGAACCTTAGGGACTTCCTCCTCCTCCCCCCCATTTGCACCAAACATCAAAGGCTAAACCTACAGGATTTAGGAATTTGGAACGCTGGGACCCAAAATACCCAAATCTGTGGATACAAGAGACACTTGAAACCTTGTTTCCCAGGCAAGATGGGTAATCAGCCAGATACACTTGTGAGGTGGGAACAGCACATCGTACTTCTCACAGGCCATTCCTCTTTACTGGAGCCACTTGTGGCCCAAAGAGGAGGATGGGTATGGGGGCTGTACCCCAAGTTATCCAGGTGATTAACTGTGGAAGCAGTTTTGGGGGAGTCTTCCCCTCCAAAACATGTTACTTCTTTGGCCTCCAAATATGAGAGAACTTTAAACCACTTCCCTAGCTCCCTCCTATTCTTTATCCCCATCACCAACACACATACAAATCTTAGCTAACAAAAATCCTAAATATAGGGAGGAAAACATTCCTGGCCTACCATTTTGTCCCACCTGCAACCTCTGTCCCCTCCCCCTAAATTTTTCTCTCCGGAGCTTCTGCTCTTCTCTTCTTTAAAAAAAAAAAAAAAAAGAACGAAGAAGAAGGAATTTTCAATAGTCCCACTTGTCAAGCGAAGACCATCTTTTAACCTTCAACAGCAGCGAAAACCGTGTGAACTCTCGGTGAACCAAGATTGAAGTCATAAATCACGCGTACAAAGGCGGCTGCGGAGGCTGGCGCGGGCTGCTGCACCTTTAACGCTTTCTGGGGCTGACAGGCGGCGGCCCAGCTAAAG